TCACAACAGCAAAATACTAACCTCAATCCCTAGATGGCAGTTTCCTCAACCAAACAAATGACAAACATTCTCAATTCCAGCTCTTTCACATCTATTACTACTTATTCTGAGACTGAAAATATGGTGAGGTTACCTGAAGGTCCCGGGGGAGGAGGTGAGGGGCTGAATACTACTGCCAGAAAAACTAGAAAGGCAATTTGGCTCAAGCTTACAAATATTACCTTAAAAAGTTAAAATCCTCTAGAAAAGTAAAGTTTAAATATTAATTTTTAGAATTAAGCTGAAAAAGGATCACCTGCCCACAGATTTTTAACTGCCTTATTCACATTTACTACTACAATGTCCACCTGCTCACCTATAAACACAGAATGTCAAAATACAAATTCATTGTGATGACAACATCGCCACAGATGGTCATGTGCTGAGAATCCAGTCAAAGTTACAGGATAAAGTACTGGCAGTGACTCTGGGGGGAAGCTCACTTGCTTTGCATTCATTTTCAACATGAAGACCATTCCAGCCACAATGTAAATGTAAGAAAATATCTTCATCCTTTAAACACATATTTACTGTCTTATGTTCTAGGCTCTTAATAAATACTTCACAAAATATTACTTCAAAAAGTAAATGCATTTTTCCTAAGGAACTGATCATATCTAGAAAACTTAATCAGAATAGAAGAATCCTCTTTAGAAGTAGGTTGTAAGAGAAATATGACAAAAAAATTAACTGATTTCTTACTTTTGTCACAAATTACACATTTATTACCACTGACAAGGACTCAATGATCAGTTAATTATCCTACTAAACGGATCTTCAAAAATAGGATTTATCTCCAATATCCACCCCAAACCTGCCAAACATTTACTTGATCTATACTTACTTTTCATAAGTAATGAGAGGGGAAGTGTGTACTGGATAACTATAAAGAGGCATACACAACTCCTTGAAGTTATCAGGGAAATTATCAGGGAAAATTTTTTGATGCCTGTAACTATTAAAATATTTCCAATTTAACTGGCTAACCAAAACCCCTAACATCCAAATGCCTGGTCTTCAGCCTTCCTTGGTTATTGAAAACAGTTGTGTTTAGGGCATCTTTTTGTTTTGTTTTTTAAAACAATTTGTGTGTTTTTCCCCTGTATTTTGTCACTGGTGCAATGCTTCTATCCACAGAAAAAAATAACTGCCCAAGCCTCCAGCTTGTGAATATAACATCTGGTATGTGCACACATCAAAAAGCTTGAGAGAATGTCCTAGTTTTTATTTAAATTTTTTCATTTAAAATGAGAATGCCTTTAAGCAAAGATTAGACAAAAATCAGCTTTTACCTTATTAGGAGATTGCTATTTTCAACATTTACCTTAAACCACAACATGGATTTATCTTCTAACCAGTTAGCTTCCTGTCTCTCTCCAACTAGATTAAACTAACATTTTCTAAAGCAAAGGACTATTAGACCCCATGATCTGTTCCCCAGTTAATATATTTCAAAAGCTTTGTAAGTTTCCACAAAGATATAAGGATTGCTAGCTTTAAAGCTTTAAGGATTTTCCTAATACTTTATAGCTATTCTATTAAGAGCAGGTGTCCTTAGCTGTTACTATAGTTGTATACTAGTGGGTTCTCAAAGTGTGGTCCTGGACTCCTGAGAATTTCCAAGACCCTCATAGGGGGCATATGAGGTTAAATGATTCTCATAAATAATATTATAGTGTTACTTATATTTTTTATCCTCATTCTCTCACAAGCATGCATTAGTTTTCCAAATATTACATGATGCGTAATGTAACCAGAGACTGAATGCAAAAGCAGATATGAAAATCCAGCTGTCTCCTATTATGCTAGACAACAGAGTTGCAAAAAAATAAAATAATGCTGCTTTTTCACTAAATTTTGTTTTGAAAAGTTAACTATGGTTTATGTTAACAGATAATGGGTTATTTTTATTTCTAAGTGATTTAATAAATACACATTAAAATTTTTCCCTTTTAATTTCTGATACAGCAACTATCAATAGATGCTAGCCATACCAACAAAAGCTCTTTGGGTTCTCAATGATTTTTAAGGGTAAAGGGATCCTGAGAACAAAACGTTTGAGAACAGCTAAGGTACACAAGTACATAATCTAACACACAGTGCCTTCCACAGATAAGAAGCTCAAGTTAACTCTGAAATATAATTTACTTGTTAGACCCTCTAATCTTGTTGAGTAGTATATCTCTTTGGAAAGCATAATTCAGCATGAAGCCATTCTGTCTTAGGCCCTATTTAAGGGGCTTTAGATATTGACGTAAGATGTCCTGACCTATAATACTTCCTATTGTTTGAATAGTTTAACATTTTTCACAAAAATTGCCTTGTTTATCCTAACAGCAACCTGTGAAGTATTACTCTTTTTACAGATGTCGTCATAAAATTGATGCTTAAAAGGAAACAGAACTACTTGTCCAAGGATGTACTGCTAACTAACAGGGCCTAGAATGTTCATCTTTTGCAATTGCTTGGCTGCTTTAAAGCTGTTTTACTGTGGTGTAATTCCAATGAAAACAGGGTAAGGGCATTACTTTTAATGCCAAAACAGGGATTTTTTTTTTTTTTGCTCGTTAATAAGAACATTATCAGATACAATATACAGTCATACCATTATTCAACACACTGGCTACCCTTTTGGGGAGGAAAGGAAGGAAGGAGGGAGGAAGGGAGGGAGGGAGGGATTGATTCAAGAGTGTTGGAGGATAAATACCAGAATATATAATCCTCCAAGATGATGAATTGGTTAAGGACTCACACACAGATAAGGACTCACAGATTACTAATCATTTAATCACTGAAACAACAGGCAGGTAAGAACAAGATCGAGCTCAATATAGTAACATTATATTAATGAATAGATGGATGCCAATAGGTCCAATTTATAGAATGGAATATGGACAGAAAAAAAAAATCCCCACATAAAGTTAAACTTGCTTTATTGGTCTACAAACCCAAGCCAGAGGCAAAGGTACCATCCTACCCTTGAACAGAAATCATCCCTCCCTTAGGGCTGGACACATTCTTGTTACCAGCACAAGTCTCTAGTTATGCTCCATTTTAACCGACATTCCTCAAGAAATGCCCACTTTTCTGCATCTCTTTTCCACAGTCTGACAAAGGCAAGACTGACTCACAAGAGGAAATCTGCCACTTGCATGCACCCAGCGAGGCCATTTTAAAATTTGATGTGATTTTACCAGAAACACACACACACACACACACACACACACACACACACACACACGTGCGCTAACTGTCCTGTAGTTTATTTTCAACAGATGAGCAAGAGTAATTTCATCATTCTCATGAGCTATGCTTTTCCTAGTGTTTACTTTGGCCATTTTTCCCCCCAAATCTCTTTTGGGAAAAAACTAGAAGTTATAGTATCACAGCGATAGCTACAATTTTAGCTACTGCACCAACAATTTGTAAAGCAATTTGATGCACCTTATTTGTTGTTCCATACTCAACATTTACTGCAAAAGATGTATTCCTATGTAAGAGCTAATTTATACAAGAATGGCAATACCACACTGTAAAACCAATTAACCGGATGATCTTTAGAGGCTTCTTGCAGGAAAAAAATAACAATAATAATAATCCGACTTTACAAAGGCAAGCAAAAAGCATCAAACCTCTGAGAGGTCCAGGGAACTGGGGTTATTTCTATTCCTTATCCCGGAGTGTATTTTTCTTTGTGGCGTTACCTATGTTTTTTCTTTCCTCCAAGGGCAAAATTACCATTTACCGAAGAAACCTGTCAAAAGTGTTCAGGCAAGTCTCTAAACTACCTCCCCAGCTGCATGCAGCCCATAACGAGAAATGTCACACTTGCTAAATCGTTCCCATTGCTGTGTGCCTACATTTCCTCAAATAAACGTAAGGTTTTGTGTGTGTTTTTTGTTTTTTGTTTTGTTTTGTTTGTAGGGCACCGTTCAAATGGTACTCTACAGCCCAAGCTACCACGAATCGTCGCAGATCTAATAAACAAAAGACTCTAGCGGCAGCACCAGGGCCCTACCAGGAAGTAATCAAAGCCGTGCGGCCGGTGCGATCCTAAGTCGCTACCACAGACAATAAGCCGGCTCTGGGGTTTCCAACGGGGCCGGCAGAAGGAGCCCATTTGCGTTCGCAACACAAAAGCACTGCCTGCACCTACTGCCTGTTGTTATAGGGCACAAGCGCCGGGAATGCCAGCGCAATTGCAGACCCTACCCAAACGTCCCAACGCCGGCCACCGGGCCGCCCCTGCGCCGCAGCTGCCGGGTCAGCCGGCCGGGCTCTCCAGCCCTCGGCTTGTTTTCAAACTTCACCCTCCCCGGAGGAGGGAAGACTCCGACCCCGGCCGCCCGGCGCGGGGCCCGAGCCCCTCCCGCGGCTCCGAGCTCCCGCCCGCCCCGCACAGGTCGGGGTGCCCGCGGGCCAGCGGAGGGGAGTGGGGCTGGGGCGAGCGGCGAAAGGCCGGGGCGCCCCGAAGCCCAGACAAAGCTGCGCCCCAAGAGCGGCGTTTCCCCGTCCGGCCGGCCGCCCGGGGACACGACGCCGCTCGGGCACCTCCACACGTGAGACCGCCCTGCGGGGGGCCGGACGCCCGCCACTACCGCCCCCGACCCGGCGACTCGGGGAGAGCACAGCCCCAGGGCGGGGCGGGGGCGCGGGCCGCGGGGCCCGGCGGCTCCCGGGCGGCGCGTCGCTGCCCCCACGCGCTCGCGGCCCCGGCGGGCTCCCGCCCCGCGCGGCCTCGGCCCTTCGCCGGCGCGACCGTCGGGCCGCGTAAAACAAAGGAGCGGCGGCCGCTCCGCCCGCCGCGCCCGCCTCACCACGCACCCTCCCCGGCCCCCGCGGCACCGGCTCGCCCTCACCCCAGTGGACTCCGCGCGCCGGCCGCCCTCGGCCCCTAGACGGCAGGCCCGGCGGAGCCGGGGCCTTGGGTGCGCGGCGGGGCCGCCTGGGGCCGCACTCACCGCTGCAGCACCAAGACGACGGGGAGCCGTTGGGGAACTTGGCTGAGTCCGGAGCGATGCAGACGCTGGAGCTGAGGTGCGGACACTCCATGGCCACGAGGAGAGCGGCGAGGAGGGCCGAGGCTCGGGGTCCGGGCGAGGTGGGGGGCGGAGGCACTCCGAAGGCTCCGTCTGGGGTCGCTCCTCGCTGGGCGCTTCGGCCGACGGCGGCTGCGTCCCGAGCCCTTGCGTCAAAGAAAGCAAAAGCTTCCGGGCGCCGGGTTTTCTCGCCCGCCGTCTCCAGAAGCCCCGCTCCGGAGAACTGGACGCTCCGGGATCCGGGTTCTGTCGCCACCTCTTAGGCGGGGGCTTCCGTCTTCCCAGGCCGGCCACGCCCCCTCCACTGGACAGGCCCCGCCCCCAACGCCCCGCCCCGCCCCCGGCCACTCTGCGGGGTGGGGTCCTGCAGCGCTGGCGCTCCCCCGCGGTGTCCCGGAGTCCAGCCGCGCTCCTAAATGACTTTCTCAACTCCGCCGCCCGGGGCGGCCGCGGTTCCCCCAACCCCTGGGCTCCAGGAGGAGGCACGCCGGTCAGGTCCGCTGCGTTCACCGCGGCCAGCGAGCACTCGCACTCACAAGACTGATCCTGCGTGGTGTGCGGTGGTTTGACCATACCGGGGTAGGAAATCTGGCCGTACAAGAAAGTGTCAAAGAGACCAAAAAGAAAAGATAAGTGTGAGGGAGAAAAGAAAAACCGCTCGGGCCGACAAACACTGTGGCCCCCTTTTTACACGAGATGACACAAGCTCAGGGTAAGAGCCTGCCCCCTCCCCGCGCGGCCCGGGAGGCTTGCAGAGCAGAATTGAGTGTTGTTCTCCCGGCGGCGCAGTGCGATGCTGACCGGGTTCTAGGTTCTGACCACGTGGGCTGAGCCAGGCACCTGGGTGCTGCGTGACGCGACCCTCTGGGGCGCCCACGAACCTGAGTTCAAACCCTGTCGTTGTGACTCACCTTGTGCATTACCTCCAGCACGTGGTAGGACTTGCATTCACCTCACCCTATACTGGGCGTTTGAGAGATGCCTAATCAGGGCTTGCTGAGCGCGAGGTCTGGATAGCCAGCCGATAAAAAGACAAGGGATCTAACATTTGTTAGACACCTACTCCTGTCTCCCAAACCAGGCACTTTACACACAATACCTCACTTAAACCTCTCACCACCCTGCAAGCTGCAGTTAGCATCCCCCTTTTTTGTGCGGGTGGGAGGTGGGAGGGAGAGAGACTGAGTCTACCTGTAATTGGTTAAGGCATGTGGGGATAGGATCCTCGACTCTGACCTCTTTGTTGAGAGCGGAGAGGGGAAAGCTGTAAGGGGCTTTTTGAGCAGGCGTTATCCCAGGCGAGCCTGAGATCTCTCTGGGAGAAGGCCTTGAGGACTCGCGGGCTATTACAAATACTCGAAGCTGGAGCTCCTTGTAAAGCTCGACGAAGGAACAGCAAGGCCAGGAAGCTAGCAGAAGGAAAAAGAGGAGGAGGATGTGGCAATCCTGCGGGCAGAAGGAGAGGAGGAAGGTCAGGAAATGATTAACCGGGTTGGGCCGGGTAGTGGTTAGAACAGGGCACCTCCCTGCAGAGCAGGAGCAGCTGAGGGACGACCTCTCGGTCACCTCTCACGCCTAGCCACCCCACCCCCTCCACCTTCTGGTGCCTCTGCACCATTCGATTTGTGCCTAACTGTCCGCTCACCTGGGGCGTCCGTGCTGACCCTGTCTGCCAGTACTATTTCCGATTCCTGAGTCCACTTTCCACGTTTTGATTGTTGTTTGCCTTCCAAGTTTTGATTACTATTATAGAGCAAGCTTTGATCTTGGGAGTTTATGACAGTAAAGAGTTGGGAAAAGTACAGCTTTAGTTCTCCCAAGTCTTTTTCTTTTCTTATCTGTAAAACTGGGACAATAATACTTATTTAGCAAGGAGGATGTGAAAGTTCGTGTGAATTGCTACCACGTGCTGAGTAGCAAGTAAATTACAGCTTTTAAAAGTATAGGAGGCGAGGGAACAATTCTTAGGAAAGAGGATGATAAATAAATCTGACCTTTGCTCAACTCTCCAGTCCTCTCCTATCAACTGATTTTTTCCCCCCAGGGTCTGGCTGGACCAACTTCTGTCTCCCTCTGGACACCTACCTCCATATAGAATCCATACCCCCACATTTAGCCAAGGAGGATGCCCCTGACCCATGCTGTCTTTCATATGGGCATGCAATGTTTCTTTTTCCACCCTCTCAGGGACTCAGTTTCCTTATTCTCAAGACTTCATCTTAAACATCAGGGAGGCTATCTCCAGGTGTGTAATGCCCTGTCTGTCCCCACACTCAGCTTTTTAAAAAACACTCTTCATGCATATAATTATTTGTTTAATGTCTGCCTTCCCCCTGGAGTTCCATAAGGATAGCAAACAAGTCTGTTTGGTTTCCTGTTGTATTCCTAACATAACAAGTCCAATAAATGTGTTCAGTAACGAGTGAGTGATCAGTTAGCAGTGTCTTCCATGGGCAGGAGTTTAGGAAATGGCACAACACATGCCAGGCATTTGCCCCCACCACGATGATCTCTAAATTTCCTTTGGCTTTGATTTTGACATCATCGGGAATGTGAAAGTACCTTGTAAGGTGTAAACTGCTATAAAAAATAGACTTTAAAAAATAAGGAAAAGAAAGAAAAAAGTTTTTTATTAGAATTCTCTCCCCAGCTAGAATAAAAACCTCTGGGGCCCCAATTTAGTCATTGACTGCGGTAGTCCCCAGAGGCAGTACCGAGAAGCCGGGCAAAGCCGGAGGCCCTCCTGGGGCTTCAGCTAGGTTTCCTGAAGCACAGGGAACTTTCCTGTGTCTCTGAAAGTTTTCTTAAGAAGAAATTTAAAGAAAAACTCATGGTGAGTAAATGTGTCCAATGGGGGAAGACCACGGGGCACACTGGGAAATCGGCATTTTTAGTTCTGTGTTTCTTTGGCTACATTTAATACACTCACATACACTTATGCCCTCAGCAGACACACACACACACCAGCCCTCAGCAGGTATACACGTTTGCTTTTTTGTTCTTGGCCAGAATCGCTTTGGCACTGAGGAACTCTGACATACATACTAGTAGCCCTGACGGTATGAGCCAGCTCCAGCTCCGGTGCTCCAGTGCTCCTAATGCTCGGCCTGGGGGTCAGCAGCCAGCCCTCAGCAGCCACACACTCACACCACACACACACACACACACACCAGCCCTCTGCAGCCACACACTCACACCACACATACACACACACACACCAGCCCTCTGCAGCCACACACTCACACCACACATACACACACACACACCAGCCCTCAGCAGCCACACACTCACACCACACATACACACACACACACCAGCCCTCAGCAGCCACACACTCACACCACACACACACACACACACACACACACCAGCCCTCAGCAGCCACACACTCACACCACACACACACACATACACACACACACACACACACACACCAGCCCTCAGCAGCCACACACTCACACCACACATACACACACACACACACACACACACACACCAGCCCTCAGCAGCCACACACTCACACCACACATACACACACACACACCAGCCCTCAGCAGCCACACACTCACACCACACACACACACATACACACACACACACCAGCCCTCAGCAGCCACACACACTCACACCACACATACACACACACACACACACACACACACACACCAGCCCTCAGCAGCCACACACACACACACCACACACACACACATACACACACACACACCAGCCCTCTGCAGCCACACACTCACACCACACATACACACACACACACCAGCCCTCAGCAGCCACACACTCACACCACACACACACATACACACACACACACCAGCCCTCAGCAGCCACACACACACCACACACACACCACACATACACACACACACACCAGCCCTCAGCAGCCACACACTCACACCACACATACACACACACACACACCAGCCCTCAGCAGCCACACACTCACACCACACACACACACATACACACACACACACCAGCCCTCAGCAGCCACACACACACACACACACCACACACACACACATACACACACACACACCAGCCCTCAGCAGCCACACACTCACACCACACATACACACACACACACCAGCCCTCTGCAGCCACACACTCACACCACACATACACACACACACACCAGCCCTCTGCAGCCACACACTCACACCACACATACACACACACACACCAGCCCTCTGCAGCCACACACACACACCACACACACACACACCAGCCCTCAGCAGCCACACACTCACACCACACACACACACATACACACACACACACCAGCCCTCAGCAGCCACACACACACACCACACACACACACACACCAGCCCTCAGCAGCCACACACACACACATACACACACACACACCAGTCCTCAGCAGCCACACACACACATACCAGCCCTCAGCAGCCACACACACACCACACACACACACACCACACACACACCAGCCCTCAGCAGCCACACACACACCACACACACACACACACACACCACACACCAGCCCTCAGCAGCCACACACACACCACACACACACACACACACACACACCTGCCCTCAGCAGCCACACACACACCACACACATACACACACACACACACACCAGCCCTCAGCAGCCACACACACACCAGTCCTCAGCAGCCACACACACACCAGCCCTCAGCAGCCACATACACCAGTCCTCAGCAGACACAAATACATACACACCACACACACACACACACACACACACACACACCAGTCCTCAGCAGCCACACACACACCAGCCCTCAGCAGCCACATACACCAGTCCTCAGCAGACACAAATACATACACACCACACACACACACACACACACACACACACCAGTCCTCAGCAGCCACACACACACCACACATACACACACACACACACACACACAGACACACACCAGTCCTCAGCAGACACACACACATACCACATACACACACACACACACCAGCCCTCAGCAGACACACACACACATACCAGCCCTCAGCAGA